CATTTTACTTTGGTTCTGAGACAGACAGTCCAATGGAACTTCCCACCAGTCAGTTCTTATATTTATTAAGAAATAATGAATGTGTGTATAAGTGTGTACATGTTTAGGTGTGCAAGAGAGGGTAAATTGCAGGGGGAGGTTTCCTGTCCAAAAGGTGAGATCACCACCCCTGTTTCAGACTTGTTTGGAAAAAATCCTTCTTTCATGAAGACTCTGGTTAGTCATCTTCTTTGTTGAAAGGCAGCTGTTCATGGGAAATAAAAAATAAAAAAAGATGTTTTCAAACAACCTTTAAAAAGTGTTCCACGTTTTAGTCCAAAACTCCTGGGGATAGCAATGCAGAGAGAAAGCAAGAGGAAACATATGCTATTCTAATAACTCTTCTGTGAAACATATAACACCGTAAAGCTTTGTGCTAGGAGGATTTTCCAAAGATGACAACTACAGTACAGTTTCTTGCCGCTGTATGCCTCTGTGTGTAACGGGGGGGAATCTCTGTGACAGATCGGCTTCTGCCAGGATGCTCATAAGCCACAGGGGAAGGAGCACAGCAAAACCTGTTAAACCACGTAAAGGCAATGACAAAATGAATCACACAATTGCAAAAGCTATGTTGAAGATGTGTATTTTTTAAAGTTAAATGAAATTTAAAAACTATATAAATCTGTTCCCATTTCAAAGATTAAAAAAATTAATGATGACTGTTGCAACCAAGAGAGCTAGTGGCATTATTATTTTTATTATGATTTAAATTTCTAGGCTGCCCCCACTCCAAATGCCTCTGGGTTTGCCCATAATAGGAACTAGAATAGCTGCTAAGAACCAGTATGGACAGCTTTAAACCTGTACACATTGGAAGGAATGGGAAGGTATCCCAAATGACTATATTGAATAGCCTTTTGAAACCAAAATTGGATTGTTTGGTTTTTAAAATAATCCTAGAATTCTTTGGAAGTGATAGCTTTGTCTTTATTTAATATATGACCAGGATAACATATTTTGTATTCAAAGAACATTACTATTTTAAAGGTTTTTGCTGTATCTTTGAAATTTCAACGGGTCAAAATTCTGAATGCAGAATGATTTCTCCCACACCACAAAAACCATTAAGAATTCTTATTTATACATTATACAGTGTCTAACACGCTGGACAAGAAGCAAGCCATTTAAAGTGCAATCCTCTTGGCATCTTTTGAGTTAAGCAGGACTTTATCCCAAGCATGGTTAGCATGTTTGTAGGTGGTGTCTTCTCATTTTGGGAAGTGGTCATAATTTCTCAGTGCCTATGGAGATTCTAAGTCATTCAGGCCATGGTTGTCCCAAAGGTGCTTTTTCAAGAGGCAACTGGACTTTCTGGTTTTTCTTTGAAGACATTTCGCTTCTCATCCAAGAAGCTTCTTCAACGCTGAAGAAATTGAAAAAGCTTCTTGGGTGAGAGCTTCTTGGATGGAAAGCAAAACGTCTTCAAAGAAAAGCCAGAAAGTCCAGTTGCCTCTTGAAAAAGCACCTTTAGGACAACCATGACCTGGATGACTGAGAATCTCCATACACCAAAGAATTATGTAGATATAATTTATACAGAGCTTCAAAGCTTCAGAGCTGAAGAAGCTTTTTGAATGAGAAGCAAAACAACTTCAAAGAAAAACAAGTAAGTCCAGTTGCCTCTTGAAAAAGCACCTTTGGGACAATTTCTCAGTGCCTATATTATAGTGCCATCTGGTGGTTGGCTAGTAAGTGGATGTGGCCCCCATCTCCTTTCAGTAGTGTATATTTATTGGGTACGCTTCAGTTCCTAGCACCTGTAGTTCTTTAAAAGTCTTGCAAGGACATCGAAGTTGATAAAGATCATAACAAACAAACTCTCCCAGATTATAAGTGTTTGGTGTAAAGGTTTATCTTACCTATTTCTTACTGATATGGTCCTTTCTCTGGAGAGAAATCTCTTCTCAGCTCAAACACATCTTCCTTGAGCTCTCCTTATTCTTCTACCCATAAACTCACAGAAATGAGTAGTTTATGAGTAGAAGTATAAGGAGAGCTACAGTGATGGGATTCAAATAATTTAGCAACCCGTTCTCTGCCCTAATGATTGCTTCCAACAACCAGTTCACCAAACTTCTCAGAAAGTTAACAACCGTTTCTCCTGAAGTGGTGTGAACTGGCTGAATCCCGCCACTGGAGAGCTATAAGGAGAGCTATGGGTAGAAGAACAAGGAGAGCTATGGAGCTTCTGCTTGTGTATAATAGTTCTCAGAATGCCTAGGCTGCGAATGCAGCTGGCATTCTGAGAAATGCAACTTTACCGTAGGAGGAAGGCTTTTTCAATATTTCTCAATAATAATAAAAGTGGGATTTAAATAAAACAATAAAGCTACAATTGTTAACTGTTGATCTTGAACAGTAAAACTGGCAAGCCACCAGGAGGACGGGAACCCCATTTTTTTTTTCTGCTCACTCTCAAAAATATTCACATCTAAGATACATTTAGAAAAAAAAGTTGAATCCGTATGTCAGACATAGTGTCCCGAGGAGCCCAGGCAAGAAAAAATATCACTCACTTCCTTTGGGTCTCTCCCTTGGGGAAGGGGAGGGGAGAATTGCTGGAAAGCGGTACCTTGTGAAGCTGCTTATGGGGGCTCTGCTGCTTGCTGTCCTTGCTGCTCCCCTCGCTACTGCCGTTACAAATGTGGATGGACATCGAATGGGATAGCGTTCAGGCTCAGTGGATAAGCTTTGCCATGAGTGGAACCAGATGGAGCTATCTCTGGTGGCTGCTTCCTTTCCACTGCTGTGAGAGGTTCTCAACCCTGTTAACCAGCTAGCTTGGAAGTTTTCTTTTAGACAAATGCCTCTTTGAGCTCTTGGCAGGCAACCAGGGGATAGTAGGCCTGTCAGCAGGTAAAAGACAGATTAGAATAAGGCGTGCTGCTCTTACTCAAGATGAGAGCTGTTCTGCTCTTCTGCAGGGCTGCTTCTTCCCCTGGGAAGAGGGAGCGGGAGGAAGAACAACTTCTCAGAGATCTATTTCTATCCCATGGTCCAGCCATTCCTCTCCTCCTTTCCAGGCACAATTGGCAGTGGCTTCTTTTCTTCTCACTCACCAATGAATTATGTAGGTGTCCACAGCTTCTGCACGCAAGGCATTCTGTGGAGAGCAGCAATGGCAGTGCATGGGGGAACATGAGACACTTTCTTGGGGTGGAGCACTGCTGGCATTTGTGTGTCAGTCAGTGGTGGGATTCAATTTTTTTTATTACCAGTTCTATGGGAGTGGCTTGGTGGGCCTGGCAGGGGAAAAAAATCTCCAGTCAGAGGTGGTATTTGCCGGTTCTGTGAACTACTCAAAATTTCCACTATCGATTCTCCAGAACTGGTCAGAACCTGATGAATACCACCTCTGATGTCAGCCATTCTGCCTGCTACTTGACATTACCAAAGCAGGGTCCTCCTAAGAGCCTGCAAAGCCTGCAAATGATTGCAACCTCTGGGGACTGGCTGGAGCGCCTGACTTTAAGATATTTCTGCCACTGTTGCTCGCCAAGGAAAGATGAAAATGGAAGAGGCCCATGTTGCTGTTAATTCATTAGCTTTTATGCCATCCATCTGGGTAGCTTACCGTGTAGTAAAATATAGGGCTACCAATGACGGCAGTATTCCCAGTTGTACATAAGGTAGTTCTATCTGAATTCAACACCAAATCATTACACAGCGATAACAATGTTCTCTTCTGAAATGTTTCCGTGTTTCATTTAATCTTTGGATTCCAGGCTTGCTTGCTTGCCAGTCTTTGATAACTGTTGAAGATCTGAGATTATTTGATCAATTTATGATTAATTCTTCCTTCTAATATTTCACTGGAGCATCAAATTTCTTCTTCCTCCTTCCTACGTATACTTCTTAATTTCTGAGGTTCCAATTAGCTTCTACTCAAAATAAAATAGGACAGCCTATTCATCTCATCAAATCTACTATATGAGGTTTCTAGTCTGTGAAAATATAGTGCAGCGAGATCCTTTTCAGAAGCTGGTGCATGATAAGCCAAAACAACACAAAGTGGCAAAGTCTCAGGTGAGTTTTGGTTTCTCCTCAGATCCCCCACCCCTTCTCTTTGCTGAAAATGAAAGTGGTGCCTTTTGTTACCAGGGCCACTTTCATCATATTGGGTCAGAACAGCCTAGTTTTTTCTCTGTATTTTTCTCTCTCTAAATTTCATAGCAAGCTTCAAAATTCATTGGCAAAAGAAACGTAGAAACTATTCCCAGCATTGTTAGGCTCCCAATGCAGTACACCATCACAAAGGTCACAAAGAAGGAAAAATAGGAAGAAAAGTTTCTAGAGCATGACAAAGAGGGAAAAGACTGAGCATATATTCTCATATATTCTTGTCTTGGGGCAGCCAGGTTGAATTACTGTATCTTTTACAGAAAAAAAAAATCTTGACACATTTAGTATAAATAAGCCTTTTGGGGAATGCAAGCATCATACTGAACCACAAGTCAGCCAGACAACGTGCATCTAAACAGCCTAAGCATGCCCCTCCCCTTCAAAAACCCATATAGAGATAAAATTCATTTTTAATGTGTTGTAGATGTGTGAATGGCCTGGCTAAACATGCTGTGTGAACACCGGAGCCAAAGATGATACCCAGGCTATATGATCTCTCTTAATATAATCTTTCTTAAAAATAGGAATGCACAAATAACAATTAATTTAAAGAGCTACTCTGTTTTTAAATCAATAAACCAGATTGAATTATTGATTCAGTACAAACATCCTAAAGGAAGCACTGCTTTTCATTTTGAACGGAATGTGTGACCTTTAGCCAAGCGCAAGGAATTAAACATTAGGGGCATACCAAATCCCTAATCACATTGCATTTCTGCGTAATGGGTGAACACGTGCAAATCTTGCTTCCCACTGTTAACTTGTGCTTGGCGATCTTGAGGAAAAGTGCAAAATGCATCACATTAATGACCGTCTCCTGACTTTTCTGTCTCCAGCTGTCCAGATCCACATCCTGAAAGCAGAGAAAGCTGCAGAATGGTGGAAGTTCACAGTCAACATCATCTCTGTTTACAGGCAAGGGGCGAATCGGATAAGGCGTGGTGACCAGATCCTCTGGATACGCTCCAAGGACATTGCCTGCAAGTGTCCCAAGATCAAGTCTATGAAGAAATACTTGTTACTGGGCCATGATGAGAACTCTCCAGATCAGAATGGCCTTGTAGCAGACAAAAGCAGCCTTGTGATACAGTGGAGGGACACATGGGCCAGGCGCTTGAGGAAGTTCCAGCAACGAGAAAAGAAGGGGAAATGCAAGAAAGCCTAGAGGGAGGATCAAAGACAAGGAAAGACTGCACATCCTTTCATGTCCGAGTCAGAGCAGATGAGGTGGGATTAGGGTCACTGGCAAGAAGCTCACTTGGCAATTTATATGCAACTGGGTGGGGAGGACAAGTGAGGAATTAATAATCTGTGAGTTATGCCCATTTTGGCCCTCATAAATACAAAACCCACACAAAAACTAGTGAGAAGACTAATTGTAAATCCCTACTCACCATAGTAACAAATATTAGATCAGTTACTACTTCCCGTTCTCCAGTTTGATTTCCTCCCCCTCACCTTTTTCCTCAAATCATTTTGGTCTGAAGGATGATGAACTGCCTTCAATTTACCACATTAACTATTTCTCAAGTCCAGATATAAGAACCAACCAACTTGTCATTGAAAAGAACGATATTGGACAGAAACTATCCTATTATGTCTTCACTTGCAGGAAATGGAAACAGATTGCTGTTGGTAGGGAGAACAGACGAACGGGATTGTTGGCTAAAAATTGATCGTGGGACTATAACTGTATAACAGTCTGCTGGATGGTTCTTCTATCATCTGCTACACAACAACTTAGAGGACATGTGAAATTGCTTGTGCAATCTGACATACTAGCCATTGTAAATGAGAGCAGTCACAAATGTGTGAAATGTACACTAAATTCTTATTGTTCATATAAAAAAGGCAACTTACTCCTAAAGAAAGGAAGATGAGAATTGTGAAGAAGGATGCATTTATGGAACAGTTGAATGATGGATACCCAATAAGTAGCAATGCCTAGAAGAACACTAGTCAACACTCAGCTAAAAGAAGGGTCAAATTACTAGACCTGGCTTTTTAGAAAATCCTCTTGCAGTGCTGCATTTGTGAACACAACTCCACCAAGAGAAAACCATTTTTATTTTTCTTTCTAAATTCATCAAAACAATGAAACAAATGCTATCTCAAAATAATAACTGCTTTATAAATAAACGGTATTCATCCCAATTGCATAAAGCAAAAGTTACATAGAACAGACCCTGTACTGATTTTTCTCTTGAGATAACACTGTATTAATATTTCAGCTCCCAGACCATGGAAGCATGCCTTATGAAAGTGTGCAATGAAATTCCATCTCTCCACATTAGTGTGTCTCGATTGTGGTCTTTAATATCTCATGTAAGACTTCAACAGTGCCGCTGTCTCCATCAAGCATGTTTCTGAACTGCAGATTATCTTATGAACTGGCTGAATTTGTCAAGATTTGCATCTTACCTACATGCATGGATGAAGAGAAGGGAGGGGTGGGAATCGAAGTTTTACTACTGCTTATAAAGATGAAAAAGAGTCCTAGCTAATTAATCCTTTTGTTTTAAAGAGCTCACAATATGTAGCTTTAATTTGTTATGTGTCAAACTTAGTACTGACTATAATTTAGAATGAGGGAATCATTCTACCACATTTTTTCTACAGAAATTCTCTGCACTTCCTTAAACAGAAAAGTTGACAGTGGGCTTTCTCTTCCACATTAAGTTCACAAGAAGTGAGCTTTCTGTTCATACAATCTCCACTTCCCCTGCAAGCAAACCAGGAAGGCTGAAGGACGAATAAGTATAAAATGGCCAGATACCAGGGAAGTAAATGGTAGGGAGAATAAGAGAAATTTGCTTCTGGAAAAGATGAGAATACTGGCTTAATTGCTTTGCACCCTGGCAGGAATTTCTGGACCCTCCCTTTTTTCCCTATCAGCTAAATTTCTGACAGAAAAATATAGGTAATATTCAACTTGCGACCACAATTGAGCCCAAAATTTATGTTGCTAAGTAAGAAATTGGTTAAGTGAGTTTTGCCCCATTTTACGACTTTTCTTGCTATGTTTGTTAAGTGAATCACTACAGTTGTTAAATTAGTAACCTGGTTGTTAGGTGAATCTGGTTTCCCTGTTGACTTTGCTTGTCAGAAGGTCGCAAAAGGAGATCAGATGACTCCAGGACACTGTAACCGTCATAAATGTGAGCCAGTTGCCAAGTATCCAGATTTTATCCGTGGGGATGCAGCCAAGTAAGCATGAGAAATGGTTATAACTTCCTTTTTTCAGCACTGTTATAACTTCAAATGGTCACCAAATGAACTCATGTAAATTGAGGACTACCTGTAGTAATGTGTAGCATTACCATTCTTCCAACATTGGTGTCTGTGTCAGCAGAGATTCCATCAGTTCTAATTTTGAACCCAGAATAAATTTGAATTCAAAAATGTCCAAGGTCCAAAAATTGCTTAGTCTGGAAAACAATGGGAATAAAAGTAAATATCAGCCTCACATTTTACTAGTAGAATACCAACTGAGAAGGGAGTTTACATTGTGGGCACTTCTCTCCATAATATGTGGCTGTGATTTCCCTTCTGAATTCTATTCCTTGCAATAAATGTTACACATTGGGTAATTATTAGGAAGTAACATTCTTCTAACTCACTCTTTGATACAGCCCGTTTTTACCAACTCATCATGATACACATGGAGATCAGTCATTCCAAAAGTTGCCTCTCTTAGGAAGTAGCAGCTTTCAAACATTGTATAATTTCCAGTCTTGATTTATCTGCTAAGGGACCTTCATGATAATAGAGGCCCCTTATATGTAATTTAGCTGGAGCTTTTTGGATTAACCTCAGTTAAACATCTCAACTTTCTACTCTCAGCTTGTTCATCATATGGGAATGATATCTAGCATATTTGAGCTTGTCAAAAGTAACTTTCCAGCTCATTGTAGTATTTATTGGAATGCCAGTGTGTGTGTGTGTGTATTCGTATATACACTATACTTATACAGATATAGGCACACACAAACAATGTAGCTGCAATCAGAAAACTAAGGAATATTGGGTAAAAGCAGGCTGGATGTCTCTAATGTGTGCACAGGCACCATTAGTTTCAGACACACAGAAAATTAGTGACTAGCAACTCTACATCACTCCACAAGACTTAAAAGTAACCATAACCATGAAACATCACTGCAGAAAATGGCAAGCTGTTGTCAAAACCACAGAACTGTGATATTGATAGCTATGATGGGGTAACAAAAAAGGCTAAACACTGTTCTCAGAGACACACACTGCCTTCCAGAATTGACGATAGTTTCTATATAGGGGGTTAAACTAATTAAAACTGGTTTCTGCTGGTTTGTTCTCATTTAAAACATTTCTATAGTTCTAGTTTTTCCAGGCTACTTTCTCTGAATCAACCATATCTAGTACCACTTTATGAGAAATGCAATATAATCTGTATCTGCTGTTGAAGTTTCTCAGAGGAAGAACAGTAAGTTTGTAGCTGCTGAGCACTTTATACCCATCCCTCAAGATCTAGCTAAGATCAATAGATTGATTCCCAGTTGATTTTAGCAGCCAAAGCATAGAACTCAAAGCCAGTGATACCAAGCTTTTACTCCAGCACAAAATAACAGGTCCATTATCCAGACAGCAGTGTGGAAATGAATAAAAAAAAAATAAGTGAAAGAAAGAAGCATTTAATTATATCTGATTATATTTTACTAAGAGAAACAAAAGTGTTTCTATGTTGACTCATTGTTCATTAAATTAATGAACAAATTCTCTCCTGGGTCATGTCCTAGGAAAAACTCTATGCTGTTTTGCATTGGAGTTTGTTTGTCTAGGATATATGAAAAGAAGGCACCTATTTAGAGTCAAATTGCACACTGATTAGCAGCAGTGATGAGGTATCTTTCCCATTTCTTAGTTGTTATTTTTTCCAAAAGACTTGGGTCATTTCTGCTTATGCAGAATTTTTTTTTTTTTTTTTTGCTTTTTTTTTGGGGGGGTATCCAGATTGTGCTGACGAAAGACAAGTCAGGACTTTACAGAAGATTTGATTTGTTGTTTTTCAAAAAATAATTCTTTGGTAGCCCACAAAAACTATAACAGCACTAAACTGAACTGTGAACAAAGCATAAGACTGGAGTGTGAGAGAGAGTATACAAACAGTAACAACAGTATACAAAGATTAACCACATCACAGATTTTCAGGATTATTAATAGTTATTCCATTCAAGAAATAACTCAGAAATATCAGTTATGTCAGTTATGTATTTCCATAAAATCCTAAAAAAAAATTTTTAATGGCCTTGTACATTGTACATTTGTCTGATTTGCTAGTAATGTTCAGTATTTAATGAAACTGCTTTAGAAATTATTCCTGAATTTTCATGTAATATGTTGGGCAGTCTGATGCAATGGTTTTCCTTGAATGTGTATATTTCAAGATAAGATGGGGAGGAGGGGCAGGCCTGGCCTATAATTAGTACCTCAAAAGAAAGTAAACTATCTTAATTTACAAATGGGTAACGTCTCAGATTAACAAGATTGCAAATCTTGGTAAAATGTTTTTGACAGTGCCTTTGTTGTCAAGTCCAGCATCTTGACTACAAAGCAGCAGACATTATTGTAATCCCATACAGAAATGTGGGAGGCAATTTGTGTTGGGTTTTTTGAAATATTGATAACCACTATATATCATCATTCAACATGATTACAAAACATATATTTTCATGGTGTCTAATCTGTTTCAGAAAGTTGAAAAAGTCTTACCTTCTGTAACACAAATATTTTGAAAAGTGAAATGTGATAGTTGCATCAGCTAGCAAATGGAGAACGACAGAAAAAAATCAAGGCTGATTGTAGAATTAGTACAAAATGTAAAATAGCTAGAGTGTAGAATCTATATATTAATCAAAGTATAATACTCTAAAAAATATTATAACAATCCTGATTCTGCCTACAGTAGTAAGAAAATCTTTTTGTTTGTTCAATAGTGTCTATCTTGACATGTTTAAGGGCTTGTTCTGTACTTCTATATACAGTAAATATAGCTTTGTATGCATAACTATACCTCCTTATATTTAACAGATAATTTCAGCTTCAAATAAAAAAAAACAGAAAAGAATAAAACAAAATCCATTGCAATACTTTAGGCCATTTATTGGTAGAGGCATAATTCTTGCCACATAATCATATGTTCTCAGGAGACAGCATATAACCAGATTCATCTACATTTTCAGCTGGTAATTTTATTTGAGGCCAAGAGTTATGCAAAGGAGACCCTTAATACAAGTGAAGTTATGGGCCTAGCATAGAGCAAAAATGCTCTATCAAATGCAATGGCTTAGATAGCTGGAAAGCTTCCTAAACCCCTGCTAAAATAATGCAACCTTGCATTGCTTAAGACAACTTTGCAACTTTTAAGACACGTATTTTAATAATAAGGAAATCATCTTATTTTTCTGGCTGGGAAAAGAACCACTAGTATACACTATATATATATCTGCAGTAGAACCAATTGGTGCCTTATACCTTTTTTAAAAGAGTTAACAGGAGAGGGTTGTAAAAACTACTGATATAATCTCTAATGTTGAGGCACTCTTGAGAATATTCCAGGCTCTATGTCAACAAAAGAAATGCAACACAAACCATTCTGAGAAGCATCTGAAACATTCAGACACAAGTAATGCAGCTTTGTTCTCCTTTTTACTTAGTCCACTTTATGTTCCTTCCCTTGATGGCCTTAACTCGCCCCCCCCCCCCCAATTCTACAGGGATAATAATCCTCTGTTCCTATTATTCCTATTAATAACTATAAACTGTAAATGTTGCTTAGTTATGACCTTTGCATATAGTTTTGTGACAATGTTTCTTTACAATGCATACTAATATATTATGGTTATATATATATATGAATATATTTAATGACACGTGGGGAAAAAAGTTGTGGATTTTCTTATTTACCCACCCTTGTTTTACCTTCGTTTGTTAGATGGGATGATATAATGAAGCAGATGGAGCATGTAACAGTGCAGAATCCACTTGATAAGACTAAATCCAGACATCTGTCAAATAAACTCTTATAAACTTCTACCCATGGTAGTTTCTTCTGTTGCAGCAGAATGAACAAAATGAAATTTCCTTTTCAGCTTTGAGGGAACATGAGCTCCTCTTCTGAAAACAGCTAGTCAATTATTAACTTGCAACTGGTTCCTTTAATTAAATGAGAAGTGGAGATTCTATCATCCAAACTATTGGTGGTAACTCTATATATATACTGTATAAATAATGTGTCTGCACAATTTCGTTTCGATTTTTCTGATCATCCAATACATATTTTAAGCTTAAAAACACTATTTATTTAATCTGAAAAAAGAGTTTAGCTCACACATTATCTCCATATCTATGACAAATAGGCCAGTTGGTATTAGTTGTGCCCTGTGTTTCCCAAGTCTGCAAGCAAATATCCAGAAAGTCTTTAGAGCTCAAAATTCATTTCAACACAGGAGACTGACTGCTTTTCTCTCAGCTTGGCTAAATTTACTGGATTGTTATAAAAATGAATATAAAACATGTGAAGATGTGAACATATCTCAAACCTTTTCATATGTAATTTCAAAAACTAATGATGCTAAATATTTTATAACAAATCTATCATGCCATTAGAAAAATATTCCACCATAAAATGCATTATTTCTTTTCAACATTTAACTTAGGAGACACACATCACAAGGAGATAGTTTTAAACATTTTTCTCCAAGGAGAACTACCTCTCGGGAAAACAGCATTCATCAATTTTAACTGAAGATGAAGAGATAAGCCAATCTTTTCTGTGCTTGATTTATCTAAAAGCTATCAAGTCACTGGTCCCTTTTTATTGCACATGAATTCAAAAACACCAAAAAAATTGATCTGTTCCAGCTTCAGACATGAATTTCTCTAATAATAATGAAAACCTACACTGAAATGACCAGAACTCTTCAGTGGAAAAGTGATCTTCTTACTTTCAGTAAAAAGGAAGCTGCTCACTCTGACTCTTCATTTCACCGCAGAATTGGAAAGTCCTCATAAGACACCTAGTTTAATCCTTTGGCTCAGTAAGGGATCTGCTGAAGAATTTGGACAGCTCAATATTTGATTTGAATACTTCTGTTGAAAAGCAACTATACTTCCACACAAAGCAACTAATAGCATCAGTTGAGAGTTCTGACCTTCAGGAAATTCCTTTTATATATAAGCTGAATCTACATCCCTGCAACTTCTATCTGCTGGTTCTGACCTTGACCTACAGATAAATAAGTCTACTTCTTTCTCCTCTCAACTCTTCCAATACTGGAGACTGGTATCATACGACCCCTTGGTCTTCTGCAGGTGAGGCAGACCCAGATCCCTTAACTGTTCCTCATGGGACTTGGTTTTCTTTGGTGTCTCCTCTGAATTCAATGCAGTTTGTCATAGACATATTTTTGCAAGTAGAGAATGACTAAGAGGAGTAGAGTGAGCAGGTTATTTCCTGGGAACTAGACTTTATTGCTGCTATTAATACATCCCAAAATAGAATTTTCCTTGTTTTAAGCAAATTCAATTACGATGTATAGTTCTATTGCTCTAATTAATATCACCAAGTATATCCATGTATAATTGTCTATGGATATTGTCAATCATCCAGGTCATGAAAAGTCCAGTTGCCTTTTGAAAAGCACCTTTGCGACATCCATGTCCCATACAATTAATTATATTATGATAGCTTGCTTTTTTGTTTATACAATTGAAAGGCAACTTCTTGTGATGGGTCCCCTGTGATGAAAACCTCTGGCAATAGAAAAAATAGCCTTTGATATCAGCTGGTCAAACATTTCATTTGGAGATTTTTATCCTATCTTTCTAATTAATATATCAATTTGTTTTGTGTTTTTTTAAATTGAACCTTTATCATATTGAATAATGGATCATCAATTCTATTTGGTCAAACATGGTAAAGATCAATTACTCTGAAATACCAAATAACACACACACACACAAAGTCTACTAAAGAATTTCAGCCCTTTACTGGAGATATAGATAAGGCTCTTAATATAGTTTTCTTCTGAAATCATCGGATCTCATACCACATTTCCTCAAATCTGAATTATTCAACATATATCAATGCTACATGGGCCAGAATGTCATTAATCCTAGATATTCAAGAACACAGATAAAGGTTTTAAATATTCTTGGCAGAAAAGGATACAAAATAGAATAAAATACAAGATAACAAAAGAAATCCTATAGAACTAAAATGGTTTCTATTCAGTCTTACTGTCTTATTATCCATTATGTCAATATATATACAGCAAAAATAACAATATCTGGACATGGATTAACACTGGCGTTTAATCCAGTGTTGCATAAATAGAAAGATGTTGATGCAACAGGATTTGTCTCCCTTGAAGCCTTCATCAATCTCCAAAATGTGCTCTGCTAATATTTCATTGTAGATTTTGAGTGTTCAGAGCAAGTTCCCGAGAGACGTTAAGTCATTTTCCTGCCAATTCTGCTAAGAGAATCATTTTATAAAAATCATATATAGAAAAAACACATTTTGAAACTCTGGGTATCTATAGTAATTCAATTTCTTTTCTGCTATTAATGTACCTTGGTAAAGAAAAGAAACATAACATAATATGTTTGATTCTTCATTTTTGGACAGAAACTTCATCTTTTCTTTCTAAAATATATATCTGATATATATTTACCATTTTACAATAGTAATTGCCCTCTGACACAAGTGAAAGATTTTGTGTATTTTTTATTTATTTGAAAGATGTTCAAAAATGGTAGTTTCTCTTGAATCTTTGACATTCTCTCAGGAAGAACCATATATTTCAGCAATAAGAAACTAATGCTAGAAAGAAAATGCTAATATTTTAATTAGACACTGCAGAGATTAAGAGAAAATTCCACTTAGTACTATTAAAAGCATTTATAGACAAAGTATTTCTTTGAAATTAATTTCAATTTACGCCTTGAAGTTTATTCTGGTAAGTCATTTCTTTCCCAATTATGTTCTTGAGTTTTATACAGAATTTTGTAAAACCTTTATGTAGCTCAGGCATAGATCTGTCTTTTGTAGTGGAGTGAGAACAGCTATATCCATGGACAGTGCCAACGACAAAGTGGGGTTGTCCTTGCTGTAGATGATTAACACTTAGTTGCAAAATGAGATGATCTTTGATTACTTTGTAGGCCACACAGCAACAACTACAATAGCAATCAGCAATAATACGATCACCACCATCATCCCTGAAAGAAACCAAAAACATAAACTAATTATTCTTTGTAAAATTAAATATCAAAAATAAATACATTTCAAAGAAGACTCCTTTGGAGAAGAATGGATTTATTTCTAAAAGACATTTAATTTCTCAGTTTTGTCAATTCACCCATTCATTCTCTGAGGCCATTTCAAAAACATTTCAGTATGTTGCCTGTTTTGACAACTGATGTGTGTATGGTTTAAGTGTATTAGCTAACTCTTTATTCTTCTTTGATTTATGAAATATATGTGGAAACGTATGTCTCAAAATATTATAGTAATAGAAAGAATGACTTTTATATTATGCTTGGGAAATAACACTATTTCCATTTTGCTGAAGAAACACAAACATGGCAGATAGAGTTTTATACAAAGATCTTTGTCTAACATATTCACATACACAATTTTAAGAATATATGCACAAAAGAGAACATAAACAATTCTCAGCATTTAACAAATTAATTCAAGATTCCAGCTTTTCTGCCCAGGGTTGAAAATAAATGTAGTCTCCATCTCAAATTCTATAATTTTACATACAGATGCAATTTAAGATTAGCATAAATATACACATATGAAATTATTAAATAAACCCTGTAACCCCTAGTTATAATTTGCTAACTATATGTTTATTAATTACAATCTATTTGTATGTAGTGGCTGAAGAACTAACTTAAAAAATGCATGGATTCCACTTTCATATTCCTCCTCTTTAAATATTTTAATTTAAATAGAGATAGGTGAGAAGGAACAATTTTCCCATCTGGGAGTCTTAGGTGTTTGTAACAAGGATGCTTGTTGGAATATAACTGTACTAAGCTAAACAATTCAGGCAAAGCTCCCAGGGCCAGCCTCCCCAGGGTTCTGTTCTGATTCAGTTTGCAGCTCATTATTGAGAGTCAAAATAAGGTTTAGGAGATTCAATTTCCAATTCCTGTGGCATTCTTTTATTATGTGTTTTGTGGATAACTTTCTTGTATGTACTACTGTAAGAAGCAGAGTTTATTAGTCAAGAAACAAATATTTTGATAGTGGGTTTTCCCATATGCTTCTCTACGCTGATTTTTAAAATGTTTCTTTAAATTTTATCTCATTTACGTTTTCATTTTTACATTTATGTTGCTCCATTTACTTACTATATTTGATGCCATTCATTCCTGAAGTGTCCAATCAGCTAATAATGAAGAATATTTTTTAAAAAATGATTGACTAAAGATAAACCCATCCTTACAAAATAGGCAAAAATCCCAACAGCATCACAATGGATCAAAATGAAAAAAACATACTTAATTACTTGGCTAAGAGAATTCTTAGAGGAGAAGGAGGGCTATCCAAAACACATAGAGCAATTATGGGCTGGATTTTGGTTCTGTGAACATTCACACAAACAAATGCAGAAGAGATGGAACTGCTGAAATCCATGGCTGGGATGAAGGGAAGCCTCCAGAAGGGAAAAGCTGTGCTAATCTGAATGGATGGACGAAGAAATGAGATCCATGTCATGAAAGAAAACAGTATAAATATAAAAAAGAAGTTACTTTCATGGTGACTGAAATTAGGCCTCCAAAGAAAATATGCAAAGTCCTGCAAGACAAATGTAAACATCAATGTACCCCTGACATGAGTCAGTCATTCAAGCTTATTTTACTCCCATCTATTGCAGAAATGCAGCACAATGGCAGGCACTGTCTCCTGCACTACAAAGTTTCCAAGAGGAAAAAGCTTGCCAAGCTGCTGACTTCTCCTCCTGGTGCTTTTTCAGGGCCTTTGGAAGGGCTGAGTGAGATGCCTAACAAGCGCAAAAGGGAATTCAGTTCTGCAGGAGAGAGTGAGAAGATACTGCACGCTGGAGGGGAGCTTGCAGAGAACCAGGCCAGTCCGGTCCTTATCATTCTGCTTTTGTCTGCTTGCAAATGAAGAACAGAAATAGTTGATGAAAGGAAAGACTGGCAGAAACAGTATTCGTTCTTCTGTTTCATATTTCCCTTCTTTATTAAGTGTTAGTTTCCTATAAGTACTCGATAAGTCTGTCGAGTTAAAGCAGTACAACGAAAAAGAACCAAGACACTAACAATACCTGGGAAAACTACCATCATGCCTGCTTCGATGCATAAAAAGTCTTGGGTTTGCAGAAGATGAATTTGAATGAAGATGAAAAAAGGCACAAATTTAGTTTGCAAGGAGAGACAGAATGTGAGAAATGTCACAGTTTTACAATGGCTTTTCCAGAAAACCACTGTGTTTTGTTTCCCCTCCAGCAAACACAATAAAGGATCTTATTGCTCCTTCAAGATTAATTCATTTATTCCACTTCAATGAAGATCCTTCCTTGGAGATCTATAGAGCGCTATTTCTGGGCATTTTTTTTTTGAAAGGATCGAACAGTTTGTTAGTCTGTTATGGTGAAACAAAAAATGTACTTAAGTTTTCTTAAAGACCTATTGAATTTTCAGTGCAGAGCAAGACAATATTCATAGGCTGTTCAGATAACCAAGTGCCTGAAGATTAAAACATCCAGTCCTGTCTGCTATCGGTCAAGAGATGCTCTCAAGGTGAAACCCCACTGTCTTTATGGGAAGTAGAAAAAGTGCAGACAGCTTGTTGTTTGTTACATAGCACTTTAACCTGAAATCACATCTATTTGGGTGACTGTACTTGTAAAGACTTGTTTGACCTATTTTTTCAGAGATCTTTGTAGATGTTCTGGTCCTTTTGTGTGCGGTGTTAGTATTGAACATTTTAGCTGCACAAGTGTCTCTTTGCCCTCAAAAAGAATCATAATATTGCTTTTGACCTCCTTTTTATCTGTCACAGAAACAACATTAAATTTAGATTCTGAAGATTGTCATCAAGATTGCCATGGCAGCCATGAACAAAACCTAAGAGCAGGCCTTGTAGAAAGTTGTTGAAGACTTAGAAAGTTATATTTTGCTGGAACTACCGTGTTTCTCATATAATAAGGCCGGGTCTTATTTTTTTTTCAGCCCCCAAAAAATGGCTAGGCTGTCTTTTCGGGGGTGACTTAATTCCCTCCCCTTGCATCTTTGGGCAGGCGGGCAGCAATGGCTTGGATGTTGACCTCGGCGTTGGTGGGGCACTTCGTATCGGGGTCAATGCAGGCAGCACCATATCCGGGTGTGCAACAAAAGTACTTCCTAATGGCAAGCCCCCCCCCCATTCCTCCCCATTTCGCATGTTTTAATATAGGCCTTAATTTGGGGGGAGGGGCTTAATTTCATTTCTTGCCTATAAAACATGCTGGGACTTCCTATTGGGGGAGGCCGTATTGTTGGAGAAACAGGGTACAACAAACGTGGGACTTCCGGCTTGAGCTTCTTCGGCAACAGACCGAAGCCTCGTCTCTGCGAGGTTTCGATCCGTGCTTGCCGCTGGAGCGCCCCGAGCCGGCTGGTTTCAGGGCTAAGCCACCCCGTAGAGGTGGTGAAGAAGGGGGAGACTGCCTGCAGGGTTGAGGAGAGCCGTATCTCTCCTCCCCAGCTGGCCATTACTCCCTTTCCCGAAAGCGGCTGTAGCGGTGGTCAGAAATGGTGACCACAAAGAAGAACTCGACTGGAAAAGAATGTGCAGGAGGAAGATAAGAAGAGAAAATTTTGGTTGACCGGGTCAAACAGCAAAAGCAACAAATAAGGTACCCTGGAATTGAAACTATTAAAAAAAAACAATAACATTGTTCCCTAAGAAGATTTTTAAGCTGCGAAGGAGAGAGAAAAGGGAAAAGATTTGGGGGGGTTTTCTCCTTTTCCTATACTGACAGCTAAGAGACTTAAGCAAGAAATTGGAAAAAAATCCATTTTGACATTAATAGGCATTTAATGCTGAAAATAAAAAGTCAAAGGGATAATAAAGATTTCTGGATAATCAAAAGCTTTTGAAAACAGGAAAGGAGAGAAAAAGAATAAAAGGGCAGGATCTGGAAGGGAGGAGACTGCCTGGAATTAAAAAGAACTTACAGCAAAATCTCAACAAGACTTCCAAAAGATACATTTTAACTGAAATATCGCAACAAAAACCCCAGGAAGAGAAAGTGGAAAAAGAAATAAGAAGAAGCAGCTTGGGACTATTTGATGATCTCTGGATTTTTGGTTATTGTATTTGAATGACTAAAATCAATCGGGTGGTTGTTTAAAACTGTTTAAAATGGCTCAACTTTTAGAAGAACTGAAAATGGAACTTAAAAAGTACAAAGAAGATGCACAAGAAGGGAGAGGTTCTTTTGGCTTCGATTTCAGTTCTTAGAAATGGAGATTTGGAACTATGAGAAACAACAAGAAATGCCTGCAGAACAAGAAGATTGTGACAAAGAAGAAGCCATCTTTAATGAACAAGTAATCTTCGGTGGGGGAAAAAAAGGAAAGGGAGGAAAGAGAATAGAAAGTTTAAGATTGGAAAAAACAACCTACCCACCCCGCAAAATAGAGTGAAAAATAAGTATAAAATCAGAAAGCATCAGAGGAGGGAAATGCAGAAGAGAGAATTAGAAATATAGAGAAAAGGGGGTAAAAAGGGGAGGGAGAAGATGAGAGAGAAGAAAGAAAGGAAAAGAAGTTATAAAGGACAGAAACAAAATATAGAGAAACAGGGCCTATTTAGAGATAATGGGTGAAAATTTAATGGAAAAGGGGATTCTGCAAAGGTACATAAGATAGTATTGTTATATTAGAAATAGAAATAATTTTAGAAAATATGCAACAATGTATGATTAAAATGTTTGATAAAATAGCTATTGTAATTCAGTGGAATGCTTGTCAATAAATAATTGTAACAAAATGAATATTTAATGATTTACAAAACATATGTGAAGAGAAATAAGGGAAAAATTAATTATGGAGATTATACGTGTCTTTAAGGAAGTATGATATTTAATTGAAAATAAATGTTAAAGATGTTAAGATTTTAATGATTATTAATGATAGAACTGAATTGGAATGGAATGAGGGTTTATAATTACATATATTTATAATCTTTTTTT